CATTAGTCATGGCACAAACTTTGATTTATGTTTTAATTTGTTAGTCTGAGATTGGAGTTATGAACTTCAGAGTGTCCAACACACTGACACAGTGTGTAAAGGGCATGAATTATACTAATTATCTAAACTATCACCTTTTGAGAACCATATTGAATCTTGCATGTGTTTTCTTTCTTAAAATATATATGTAAATATATTTTGTTACTGTATTTTAGCTAATTATATATTAAGAATTACTTTTCTAAATATATGTCTTAAGATTATTGTATTTGTTTCAAATCAGGAAATAAGATCAAATGAGGAAAATATTCTTAACATGATATCATAATCAGGTTATAGTTTATTTTAGCAAAATTTATGTGGATACATTGTTTCACTTATTATCGAACCACTAGTATCATTTCTTAATATTTAGTCTTATGCACGATATATATATATATATATATATATATTAGATTAAGAGATTTGTTGAAAGTCTCACATCAATTAGTTATAAAACTAATTTATAGTATATAAGTGGATACAAACCTTACTCTTAAATTTGTTTTCTGAAATTAAGTTAGGTTTAAAATACTCATCAATCAGACCTAACACAAATTACCTCAATACTAGCTATTTTATATGTCTAAAGATTTTAATAGTTATTATAAGCTACTTTTTGAAAGCTGGTTTTTGACTCTCGGGGGTAAAAATATGCATTGTTAAAACATAGATAGACAAGGTATCAATCCTTGGGGAAGCCATAAAGTACATGCGACAACTTCAACAACGCATAGCAGTGTTGGAAAAAGCGAGCAACAATAACAGTGTAAAGCCGTTTATCATAGCCAAATCACACCTTTGTTCAGCATCATGTTCAGCAAATTCTGACATTGAAGTGCTCCCTGAAGTTGAAGCAAGTGGGTTAGAGAATGAAGTGCTGATTAGAATCTACTGTGAGAAACGAAAGGATATCTTGCTAAACCTAATGACCCTTCTAAAAGGTGTTCATCTCTCAGTAACCAGTAGCAGCGTATTGCCATTTGGAAACTCTCTTCTCAACATCATCATTGTTGCTCGGGTAAGCCATTTGATTTCTGTCGTAGGATCCACAATATCATAATTTGAAATTATAAATAATGACTGTGATGCAGATGAGTGAGGAGTACAACTTGACGGTGACTGATTTGGTTAAGACGTTGAAGCAGAATCTTTTCGTGTTTTATGAGGTGTAACTGTGTGATCGAGTTCTCCAACATTTGTTCATTGAATTGAAGTTCTCACGTTATTAATGATGTTACTGTTTCTTTTTTAACGTTTATTTCTTCGAAATGCTACAACACCATGTCGGGAGATGGAACAAAAGGAAGGAAAAGATCAATAGATTCAAAGCTAGATCCATTATAAAGGTCTGATACTGCAAAACTTTTGTCAATGGTGTATAAGACTTAAACTTATATACTTATATTATTTTAATCTGAAAGAATTAATTAACAAATATAGTAGCTTAAAGTCCATAAATTTCTCTGGTAAAAAAAGGTTGTAGAAATTGGTAACTTGCGCAGTACAGTAAATGCTTAAATAATGTTATATTGTGTAAGTGCAGAATTTAGATTTGTTTATGAGAGAAAATTTTGAATCAATTATGTTTTCTTTTAAAGAATATTACTCCAACAAATAAAAAATAAGACAACTCGTTAAAGTAATTATTTAATTCATGTTGAAAATGCCTTCGTAATTGGATTGATATACTGATTTAGATAAATGTTTAAGATTGTAATGTTACTTAGGTTAAATGAATTTATATGCGGGGAAACATGTGATGCTGTGCTTTATTAAATTCGATTAATGAAAATCATAGTTACAAATATGAAAATATGGTAATTTACTTAGTGGAATACGCTTATAGTGAGTGGTAAAACTTTTATATAAAGAAAATAGTGAGGTTTTGTTAATTTCCACGTACCATAAACAAAAATATTATTATTATGATTGAAAAGTCGATGAAAATTTGTTATACTAAATGGAATGAAATATCCAATTTTTTATTTTCTGCAAACATAGTGAGTAGATTTTGATGCGTATTTTTTAAAAGTCATCAAGTTATTAGTTTAGTTGTAATTTAATTCATTCTTAATAACCTTAATGCTTAAGGATCAGTGTGAGGGTGGAAAGAAATAAATAAATAACTAAAGTGATGTCATATAAAAATTATATAATTAATTTTATATTTCTAATACAATTGCATGGTTTTATTCTTAGTTTTATTTTTCTATTTATAATTAATGATATTTAGTATAAAAACATATAATATTAAAGTAGTCGTCTCGTCCTAGCACAGAGGAGGTGCATATAGTATTTTAAAAACTATAGTATTTGGGTTGTAAAACTAATCTATTTGAGCATTTTGTAGTATGTATGTATGTATATATATAATACGTGTATTATACTTTTTTAGAGATGTTACTATTGCGTTCATTTTCCAAGATAGACAGAAGCAACACATGCGCGAAAAGAACACAGACTGAAATTACCTATTTTGTCCTTTTCCAAATGAGAGGACCACGTATTTAGGATATAATTCATACTAGTTTTCTTATTTTGGTACCATTTTTCTTGCTATTTGATTCCTCCATAAAGTGTGATATATGGATATTAGATGTTAAATAATAATAATAATAATAATCTAAAATTAATTATTAAAATTATATTTTATTTTATCGTAATTTTAAAATTTGGCTTATTTTCTAATGAATAATTGTACGCATGTTTTATTTTCAAAAGCCACGTCTTCTTGTTTTATTCATCAAAACATTAAATTAGATAAATGTATATAATATTTTGTATCACTCTAACTTCATATCTAACATTTCCTTCGTAGTTTCGTAGTATATTATATAATTATCCAAAAAAATTATATAATATAAATTATAATTTAATTTAATAAATTATAAATTAAATTTTATTTTTATTTTTTTCGAATAATAAATACAAAAGATGATACCCACATCCCAATCTATTAATAGATATTTAAATATCTCCCTACTAATAATAAACGTTGATGAGTATCACTTTCATTCAAGATATCTACAAACATGGATGTTTTTATATCCTTAATTCGGAGCACGATCCATTACAACAGTTTTATTTTTGACACTGTTTGAAAAACAAAAATGATTAACTAGTATTTTCTTTTCTTATATTTGAATTTATAAAATAATATATATTTTGAAAACGAATATTTGTGGATTTTATTTTTTAATTGCAGAGGATCCAGTTCCAATACGTCTCATATTTGATTTCTTCTGTAGGCACTAAAATTATGAAAACTCGCACGAGTACAGTTCTTCTGACATGCGCAATCATAATAACACCATGCATGGAATTCTGAATCATCATCACCTTGGATTCACAATTTATATTTATTTCATTTTATATTTAATTCTTGACTTAACAAAAATATGTATTAATGGAGTTTGAGTTTGACCTAATTAAGAACAGCATGAGCTTCACCCAGAGCTAACAGAAGCAGCAACACCTATTCTTATTGGTGTAATTAATGTTCGGAAAATGCTTATTTATTCTTTCTCTTCTTGCTGTTTATGATGTTATATATATATAACATTTATGAAGTTTATTTGTACCTTTCAAGTAGCAGGCCCATCACCCTGAGCTGCCATTGTTGACAATCAATGCTAGAAGAAAGGCATTTATGGTTTGATATGACAACATTTTCCATTAGGAAAATGACACTTGAACAACCATTTTTGACAACATTTAGACACGCGCACACGAGTCAAAATCTGAGTGGTCCATTTTTATTTAATTTTTCCAACTGGACCACTCAGATTTTGACACGTGTGCGCGTGTCTAAATGTTGTCAAAAATGGTTGTTCAAGTATCATTTTCCTTTCCATTATTTGAATTTTCCTGCATGAGAAAATCTTCATCTTCAATGCCTTTCAAAGAGATAATCTTCCTCACCAAACTCATTTTCACAAACACGGCATGTGCATACCTGTTCACCCTGACCGGAAAAAAATGAAAGTGTTTCCAAAATCTAAACTTTTAACAGTAATTTATAATGTACAAGTAAATCAAAATGATTTCAGATTATATCATCATCAGCAAAATTTTAAGACGTTTTTCGAATCAATCATAAATTTTATTAAGATAAATAATCTAAAGAAATTCCTTTCTCAACTAAAAATAAAACTAATTTAAAATACATAATTAAATAAAAATTTTACTTTATAAATCGCTTTTTGTGAGATTATATTAAATTTAAAACTCATTTACTAATAAAAACTATTTAAAATTAATTTTTTAATACATAATACTAAAGTTATAAGTTACAGTGTTAGCTAAATTTGGTTTTGTCAAATTTATTATTTCATTTGCTATTAGATATTTAAAATTAATTTATTAAAATAGAAAAAATGATTGTTTGTATTGAATGAAAAATACAAAATAGTTTACAAATATAATTAAATAAATTTTTGTACTTTCAAATTGGTCATTACTAACATAGTTATAGCTCTGAAAAAAAAATCAGTACTTTCTTATTCCATATTTAACAAACATATATTATTAATTTTAAATTAATGATATTAATATATATGATTATTCTAATCAAATATTTGTCTACGTGTCGACATACGAGTGTGAAAATTAGAATGTTTAACACTGTTAACCACCTAAACAATAAATTTGTAGTATTAAGTTAAATATTTATTAAAAATTTAAGTATAAAATATAGTTTAAACGTATTAATTTTAATATAAATAAACTCAGATATGGTAAAGAAAAGGAGAGCTAACATTGTGGAGATGTGAAAGTGGGCCTATACGACACTCTGGAGCGCACCACAGCGACCCATCATGAATGATCTCACATCTCAAAATCACTCATCCAACGACTCACATTTAAAATGCATGAAAAACGAGTATCATCTTGTCGCATCCTTACCTATCTTATATTATATCTACGTTACACGCAGTTCTGCCACCACAACACCACCGCTTCTCCTTTTTCTTTTTATTATTATTATTATTATTATTATTATTATTTTATCTCTTACCTGAGAAACATCTATTGTATTATTTCATCACTCCCATGAAGGAGGTTTCATGGCAGAATGATTGGCATCCTCAAACGGTAACTGCAACACCCACCGCCGTCAAATCTGGTTGATTTCTTATATTCAAAACTCATCGATCGTTTCGTGCAGGAAATGGATTGCCAGAACGAGTTCTTCTACGACTATGACCCTATCAACGATGACTGTGATGATTTCTTCACCGACATCATCCTCCAGCCGGCACCGCCCACGCCGTTCTCCTCCGAGAGCGAAAGCGATCACTCTTTTCGCGCTTCCAAGACCGTCCAAACCAATTCCTTCCTCCCCAGCGCCGCCGTTAACACCGTCGCTTCCAAACGCTCCGCTCCCCGGACTTACATTCTCTCCTTCGATAGCTCAACGGTGGTACCCGCCACACCCGAACCCTCCGTCCCTTCTTCCCTTTTACCCGCTAAACGGGCCCTCCACACTCAAAGCCCGACAACCAGGCCCAATCAAGCATCTAAGAGAACCCGAACCTCTTCTCAGACCGTCGATCACATAATGGCCGAGAGAAAGAGGAGGCAAGAACTCACCGAGAGATTCATAGCACTCTCAGCCACCATTCCCGGCTTGAACAAGGTACTCCAATTCATCGGCTCAATCTTCTGTTCTCGATTCGAATACAACATAAATTGAAGCTTGAACTCATTTTATAACCTAAATCAACTTCATACTTCACTACGATTAATTATCGATTGGTATATATATATATATATATATATATATATATATATGATCTTGTCAATCGTGAAAGGAAGATTCATTGTCCGGGTCACCGACCTTTGCTATATTATATGATGTAAACTCGTTAATCTCTCACTAATTATTGTGCGTAGGAATTGACCTAGAAAAATCTTATATTGGAAACACCCATCTTCTTATTTTCGTTGGATTAGGTAATGAAAAGAGATATAAAGTTAAAAGATGGGAACTTGATTTAAAAAAGGCTGCCAAATTTTCCGCATGATTAGAGTTTGTGTGTATCTGTATCCTACAAGAATCACTTTTAGGTCAGCACTGAGCGATAACACGTGGTGGAGTGATGAAAGCACAAGATTACAAAAGAAAAGTTATAGTCATTATTAAAAGGAAAAAATAATGGAATTACTTATAGTATTGAAATTTCCATTTATAGACGGACAAGGCTTCGGTGCTTCGAGCAGCGATCGATTACGTGAAACAACTCAAAGAAAAGGTAGATGAACTGGAGAAGCAAAACAGAAAGAGTGCAGCAGAGACAGTAATATTGGTGAATAAAACCGACTCAAATGGAAATGAAGACAGCACCAACTCCACTGAAACGAACTCCAGCATGCTTCCTGAGATGGAAGCGAGAGTGTTGGGGAAGGAGGTGCTCATTGAGATCCACTGTGAGAAAGAATATGGTGTTGAGCTAAAATTATTAGACCATCTTGAAAATCTTCATCTCTGCGTAACCGGTAGCAGTGTTTTGCCATTTGGGAATTCCGCTCTCTGCATTACCATCACAGCTCAGGTATCTTATTATGCCTTAATCAAGTTTAATAATTCTATATCGACTAATCACTGTGATCTGATTCAATGAATCTATGGTTATTCTAAATTTGTAATGGTGTTAAATTTGTAACACTTTGGTGTTTGTTAAGTGCAGATGGATGAGGAGTATGAGATGACAGTGAATGATCTGGTGAAAAACCTGAGAGAAGTTCTATCGAAGTCTCATTTGGTAAGTGACAGTGATCCGTACTAGTGTATCAAACAAGGGGTTGTAGTGTGAAATTGGAAATTTTTTGTTTGTGGTGTTTATGATTTTGGTCGGCTTTCGTGTGGATTATATATCAATATGGCTTGGTTTGTCATGTATGATGTTGCTGTTTATAAAGACAGAAACAGAGAGAGAGAGAGAAAAAGGAGAGTGATACGTTGTTTTTCAGTGAAATATGCTGAAAGAGAAGCACATGTAACAAGATGTACGACAACTCCTTTTTGATGTATGTTTGTCAAGCAGAAAAATATGTAATTTTTAATATTTTTTATGGTAAAAATATCCATGGTTCAGCTCTATCATTAATTATCAGCTTTTATTTTAATAATTAAAAAGTAATAAATAATTGAGAATGATAGCATTAATAATAACAAAAATGTAGATGATAGAGGTTGCGCACGACAAATCATAAATGCTGAAGTTTACTTTGATGTTTCATCGTACGGTTTGATCGAAAGGTCCAAAACAGAGAGAAAATGGGTTCTAAATTGCAAGAAGAATTGTCTTCCTTTTTTGTTAGTTGAATGGAGTGAACTTTTGAGGTTACTTTTTTAAGTTTCACTTTAATGGACAAAGTGAAGAAAATGATTGCACTGAGATTATGTTTCAACTATTGTATCCACATAAATTCCATTATAATATAATTACCAATAACGTAAAGTTATTTTTTATTTGTTTTTTTTTTCATCCTTAATCCAGTGATACCGTGAATTTGTTTAATTAAAGGAAAATAAATAAAAAGTTTATAATAAATTTGATTGATGTGAAATATAAAAATATTAAAATTTATATGATTATATTATCAATTATTAAAATGTCTTTTGATGATGATCGAATGTATGTATACAAGTCCTAGTCTTTTGATGATCTAATGATATTAACTAATGGATCATATATTTATATCAAATAAATCTATAACATATTTATTAGATTATAAAATTTTTAGGAGGTTACAAATTAAACATGAGAAAAAATAGGAAACATATATAAATTTAATTTTCATTTCATTTTAAGAAATTTATTGTAATTCTTATTTGACATGCATAAACATATACATGTTGGATTTTTTTTAAAAAAAGTAATACTAAAACAATGAAAATGGAATAATATGAAATGTTTTTATATAATTAAATTTATCTGTGACGACAATTAAATATCCTGTTATATAATAACACCAATATAATAACTTCAAAAAAAGTCACTTCACTGGACGGTGGAGCATACATAGGTGGCCTGTTTGACTAATGAATACTTTTTCTATAAATACATATAAAATAAAGAAGTTAAAATAATTGTTTTCCATAAATTAAAATTAGCTTAAAAATTAAAATATTTTATATAACTTTTGTTTTAATTTCTTTAAATTTTAACTTTAAGTGATGTATAAGATCATTTTAACTTGTAAAGAATTTCCTTTTTTATTTTTTAATTAGAAGAACAACTCAAATTAACTATATTTTGTATGGGTTTGAGCCTAACCTTATCATAATTACTAAATCCAAGTCTAATCTATTTTTTATTTAATTAATTTTAGAACTTACTATTTTTATAAATTAAAATAATTATTTACAAAATAATAAAAATTATTTATATTCATTTATATAATTATGATAATAATGATCTTTTTAATTTTAAAAAAAAAACTCAAACACCCATACAAATAAATATATATATATATATATATATATATATATATATA